ATTCATATCAATTTAGATATTTTGCTTATTTAATTTATTTTTTAAATTTTGTACAATGTGGTGTTATTTGGTACATTTTTTATAACATGATATATTTTAATAAAATCGAGAATATGATAAACCAATTGTTTTTGTTAACTAAATGAAACTATGGCAAATCCTATTGAAATGGTTACCATAAATATACATACAACATACTGGTTTATGATATATATATAAAACATACTGGTTTACGTCAAAATATATAGAGAATATCGATAATCATAATTTGCAAATATTGTTGATAACTACCATGGCTAAAAAAATTTCTATATTCATTTTGGAGTTTTCATTTTTGAAATGATGGATATGCATTTAAAAAAAAATACTGATATGTATCAATATAATCAACGCGATAAGTGTTATCATTGATGTGTTCCAAGACCTCTAAATAACCAATCTTGTGAAACTTCAGCGTATTGTATTCGTGCAACAGTAACCAATTCGTGGTGAGAACCACCCAAAATAAGTCACCTGGTTTAAAAATAAATTCACTAAGGCGAAGATCGACATAAGCTTTATATTTTACAACTGCAGTACCCAAATTCTTGGCAACTTCTTTGTGAACATCCTGCAACGACGAAAGAAAGTTAGCAGCACCTTCGTGAGGTCGAGTCATATCTGGTAATGGAGCAAGATCAAGAAGACTGCAAGGAATGTGTCCATATATGACATGAAATGGACTAAATCTTGTGCTTTGGTTCATGGCTTGGTTGTGAGCGAACTCAGCTTGATACATGTGAGATTCTTATAATCATATATTATCACCAACCAACAGTCGAAGCATATTATCGCGAGATCGATTAATGATCTCTGTTTATCCATCAGACTATGGATGATTAGTTGTACTCCTATTCAAACTTGTATTGAGCATTTTCCACATAGATCGACAAAAATGACTTAAAAGCCTTGTATCACGATCATAGACAATGAATGTCGGCAGACCATTAAGGCGATATATATTTTCCTACGAAGAAGAGCCGAGTGACTTTAACAACATCTGTCGTTTGTTGACAAGGTATAAAGGGAACCATCTTGAAAAAACTGACAAGGTATAAAGGGAACCATCTTGAAAAAACGACCCACTACAACAAAGATTGAATCATTGCTTTTTTAGTACAAAGGCAGACAAAGTCCACATACTCTCTAATATGTTTATGGTCGCGTTGGAACTTGCAAACGCAGATATTTTAAAAAAGAAATATTATTTTCTTTAAAACATAATTTTAAACAATATAAAATATATATACTTTAAAAGTATTAAAATTATTTTATTCGTATCTATCTATTTGCTTAGATGAATATATAAAATAATTAAGTAACATAAACTGAAATAATATAATTATAGTTGACTAAAATAATTTATAATTAGTATTATTGATGTTATATATATATATATATATATTTCACAATATTTTGTTAACTATTAATATCTTACACTTCCAAAAAATATCTGTAAATTATACTGTACTTATATACTTGATTTCTTAAAAAAAAATCACAAATGGAATTTAATGTTTATTTTTAAAAGATATTAAAAATGGAAACAAAAAATAAAAATTTTTCAAAACATGCATATTTTGATAAAATAATTACAAATATACATTTTTCTTAGCATTTAGTTTGATTTTTAATTTCAGGTTTTCTTTATGATTGTGGAACATAATATACACATAATCAAAATACCCAAACAAATCTCAATTCTCATTTTTAAGATTATTTAAAATAATTTTCTGTTTAATTCCCAATAAAAATAAGGAAATTGTTTAGAATTTATAAAATATTTTAATTATTGCAATATTTCTATGCGTCCATGCACTTTCAAAAATTTACGAGTCATACTTTTACTTTTCTGTGTAACTTTCTGTTAATCAAAGTTTATTTTCTAATATAATTTAAAAACCAACATATATCAATTATTAAAAATAAATACTTGCAAATTTAAGAGATAAATTAAAATAATTTGATTTAACTTAATTAGAATAAAAATATTTATATTTTTATTTGAATTGGAAAGAATATACGTAACTCAATACAGTCACATAATGAGTAACTGGACTAATCCAATTTACATCCAAAATTAAAGATCTAGCTACTATAAGAACATATAATTATATCATAATAATTTATTTATTTATACATATAAATTATAATATATATTACATGATAACTTAAAACATATTAAGATATAAAAACAAACTATTAAGCATTTGTCACAATTAAATTCTTTTGTAAAATTTATACATATACATGAGACTTTCAAATACTAACGTTATATTGATTTGTGTAATTTTAATCAAATATTCAGTTTATTTTTATTTCATTATATGTACAATATATATTAAGTCATACATAATTTTGTTAAAATATATTTAGTTTACATATCTAGGACAGCAAGCAACCTAAATGCAAATAAAAAAGCTAAATAAATTTTCAATATATTTAGAATATCTATACTATTAAAGCAGAATCCCTACTAGGATTCTGCCCTTACTTTTTAAGTTATTTACATTGCTATGCCACTGACATTTAATTTTAATAGCTATATTATTTATTTAAACTAAACAACAGATTTTTTCTATATTTTTGGTAACTAATACTATCCATAATTTGTAAATAATATTAATTCTAAATTTATGTAAATAATATATTTCATTTAGTTTGAATATTATTTTTCTTTCTTAGTATTATTTAACAATCGAATTTGAATATATATATATATATATATATATATATATATATATATATGGAAATTAAAAATAGTATTTACTATGTCATTTTTACTTTTTGAACCTTCAAAAATATTTTAAAACTTATTATAAAATTAAATTTTACATCTAAAATAAACAGAAATAACTTTCATAAGTTATTAAAAACGAAAAAAAAGAAATTATATTGTCATACAAATAAATTTTTCTTTTTCTATTATCATTATTTCATTTTTTTTTCAAATGACTTAGTAAAAAATTCATAAAAATATAAGATGTTACAGATTTTCAGTCTTATATAATATTAAAATGTATGAGTTATTTAATCAAAAAAATTTAAAAAAAATATTTTCAGCGAATCATCTGATATCGGATCACGGATTATAGCGGGTTTTGGATTTTACAAAGTTTTATCTAATTTTAACTAACAAATTTTTATTAAATATGAACCGGATTAAATACACGTCGCTGGATTTATCGATTCAACCACAATCTGAGTCGGATATGAGAATATTTCGTGGAAATTAAATATAATAGAACAAAACCTTTGAAACACTAATATAATAAATTTAAAACTATTTATTTTTAATAAATTATAAAATAAATCAAATTTTATCAAAATAGTAAAATTATATTCGCATTATTTACATTGCTATGCCATTAGAATTTGGTTTTAATGTCTATATTATTTATTTAAATTAAACAACATAATTGTTCCTATATTTTTGGTAACTAATACTATCCATATTTTGTAAATAATATAATTGTAATTTTATGCAAATAATACTTTCCATTAAATTTGAAGATTATTTTTTGTGCTTAGTATTATTTAACAATTATATTTGAATATATATATATATATATGAAAATAAAAAACTATAATTTACAATGTCATTTTTACACAATACTAATATGCTAAATTTGAACCTTCAAAAATATTTTAAAACTTATCATAAAATCAAAACTTTACATCTAAAATAAACAGTAATAACTTCCGTAAGTTATTAAAAAAAACTAATATAGTCATATCAATAAATTTTACTTTGTCTAGTACCGTTATTTAATTTTAAATAACTTAATAAAAAATTCATCAAAGTATATGATATTACAATTTTAACTCTTATTATGCGTTACTTGATAAAAAAAATAAAAAATATTATCTTTATTTTTTTCCAGCAAATCATCTGATATCGGATCATAGGTTAATAGCGGGTTTTCGATTTTTACAAGGTTTTATCTAATTTTTAACTATCAAATTTTTAATTAATCTGAACCGGGTTAAACAAAAATCGCCGAATCTATCGAGTTAACGATAGTCTGAGTCGGATATGAAAACATTTCTGAAAATTAGATATAATAGATTTTTTTTAAACACTAATATAAAAACTTGAAATTGTTTATTTTTAATAATATTTATAAAATCACTCAAATTGTATCAAAATCGTAAAATTATACATGCGCTTTAAAAGCGCGGGTCAAAATCTAGTGTGTTATTATAGTTAAATACGGAGAAATATATGCAATACAAAATATTCAAGTAGTAACCAAATCGACTGATGACCTAAAAACAACTAAACCGACTAAATATAATGTATCTGAAATCATATGTTTAATTAAAATAATACAATATTACTAATACAAATTATAAATTGATTTATAATTTAAAGTAAATATGAATCAATGATTATAGTATATTTACTATATAAATATTAATATCATGAGCACGGGAGAATCACCTAGTATCTAATAAACACAAATCTTTGAAACTATGCAATACCCAAATGATGCATCTCAACTCTACAACATTTCTATTAAGGAAATTTGGAAGGCTTCTCTTGCATGAAATAAGACAGTTCTAGAGTGCTCTCTAGTAATTCAAGCTCCTCTACTTTTCAATGCTGTTTCAAACGACTCATGTATTTTCTCAGGTCCAATATGGTATTTCTAGCTCACAATAAACCTACACTTAAATGGATATAGATCGGAAAATAAAAAAGGATCCTTGTGCCCCAAGCGAAAACAAAGAGTTATAAAAAAGCGGTCTAGGGTTTCTGGTGCTCGTCACTGTGTGCATTTAGCCCAACTAATTGTTAATAGAATTTAGCAAAAGGAAAGCTAAGGTCGGTGGTACGTAGAGCTATAAATAGAGGAGGTGGTCAAGCTTTGTTATCATCCAAAAACGAAGACAATAACGAGAGCGAGAGAGAAAGATCAAGAGCAATACTTAACGAGCCGCTCTTTCTCATCTTTGCAATGGAGACGATATCCGCCATCAAAGCTGAAGCAGCTCCTGCTGAGAACAACTTGATTGAGAAGGAAGGATCTGATACGAAGGGGATCATAGAAGGATTAGCTGATCGTCTTCAGAAGATGGAAGAAAAGATGGATTTGTTGATCTCATTGATCAATTCAAACAATGAAGCTTCTGTATCTGTAAAAGCTGAGACAAAGAGCTATGAGGAGCCTTGTAAGAAAAAAGCTAAAACAGATGCCAAGACTCAAACAAAGGAGAGCTCTAGTGATGATTCTAACGAGGAATCTGATGAAAATAAGAATGATAGACGTTTCTTTAGTGCTCGTGGTCGTGGTCCTCGTGGTGGTGGTCCTCGTGGTCTTAATGTCGGTGGTCCATATGCTGGTGGTCGTTGTGGCGGTGATGGTTTCTGTCGCAAATGTTGAGGTATTTGGAGCGGATGAAGAGACCTTTTGCTATCTTCAGAGATTAGGAGTGGATAACTTTCCTTAGAAGACGAGGAGGAAGGAAGCAAGCTCTTTGGTTTAATGCAACCTTTACGATACTTTGTCTTATTTCTTTTTGGTTTTTTTTAATCGAAACAGTTTTTTTTTTTTCATGTTTACATTTTTTCTCTTATTATTAAAAGTACCTCGACCAAAATATGCCTTAGCTTTTACAATACATTCCATGCGATAACACCAGATCATCTGCTTCATCAGCTTTTGCACAAAAGGATAATAATTTCGTACTCTTAGTCTCTTAAGAATACATGAATTGGTTTCAATAAATCACAAGCACACGTACTTGTTCCATTAAAAATACATAGTTTCAGAACTATCTTTAAGCGACGACCGGACTTGTTTCCCATGTACATGCAACTACGAAGTGTTCAATAAAACTCAATTCACGTTGGCACTTGGCACAGCCTTCTGTTTGTCAATAACTCTGGTTCTATTGTAGTATATGATAGTGCATCAACATTATCCGCTAAATTCCGTTTAGCACTCGAGGTAGGTGTTGTCACGAACAATTCACCACACCTGCATTGAGAGTTAGAATTGATTAAGAGAAACTCTGATCTGCAATTAAAGAGGGTTAATAGCGTTCTAAAATTTGACAAGAGCAATATATAAACAGACATTAGTTTTTTTTTTAAAATGTGACAAGGCCTTGCAAACCTTTGTTTATCATCTATAAACCCCATCTTGGACCCCATTCACATGTATTAAGGGCTTGGGTTCCACAAGTATCCTCACGTCCCCATCTTGGTGTGTGTGTGTGTATGTTTTATTGAAGAGTTTTTTTTTTTTGTTAGAATTATGAGAGAAGGTTGATGGTATCTAAAGTTTTTGTCATTATTTTATTTTTAAAGATGAAAGACATAGCGTAACACCACATTGCAGAGATGACTGACTTAGCATAACCTATTTTCCAGTATTTTGTCATTCCGTAGAGAGCAATGTTTCATTTGATGATTCTAGTACGATTCTGAGCACTAAAGTGCGCGGTTGAGTCTTGGCATCTATTCTCAGGAAATACACCAGGACGTACATGGTAACATGTAGAGATACTAAACCTTCCAAAATAAAATAAAAGGGTTCATTATCATAGTTACACATATAATAGAGATAATTTGGGTAACATATATATATATATATATATATATATATATATATATATATATATATATATATATATATCTAATGAACAACGTGAGCGGTGAATGAACACACTTTGATGCGCCAGAGAGTAGAAGCTCAGTAGCAATTAGGATGGTAGGAATGGAGAAGGTGTTGGTCGATATTGGATGTCGTTTTTATCGCTTTATTAAAATTAACGAAATTAATAATCACATTCTAGATTAAATAGATTTAATATTTCTTTATTAAAATTACTATTGGATCTTGTAATGTTTCAACCGATATCCAGATTAAATAGATTTAATATCTCTTTATTAGAATTGACAAAATTAATAATCATATTCCAAGCAAGATACAGATTATTGCCTAGTATCTAAGTAATATGAATACTTTTGGGATATATGAAAAGTGAACGTTAGTATCCCGATCGGCTAAATAAGTTTACTTTCTTGTATATCAAATGCAATTGTCCTAGTTATACAATATTTTGTATTTTAAAATATCACAATTCCTAAAACATAAATACCAATCAAAATTAATGACAAGAAACTAAGTTATTATTTATTAATAAGTCTAATATCAGCATATACAAAAAACCTAAAATTGGTGTTCGAAAGTTTTCAATTTTTTTTCAGAAAAAACATCAAACGAAGCCTGTGATTTTGTACAGGTTCATAATATCTAATAAACATATAAGATACAAGTTATTATTCATTAATAAGTCTAACAACAACTTATAATAAAAACTTAAAATTGATGTTCAAAAGTTTTTAATTTTTTTTAATATTTTGTAAAAAAGGAAACATGAAAAAAGTATGTGCTTTTGCTCGGGTTCATAATATTTAGTAAAAAGATAAGGGGGTGTTAGTGAGACTTAGATTTTTATAAAGTTTGTTAATTTTAAAAGTTGAGAGATTTGTTAAATTTGGAAATAGTTGTAGATAATTTTGTATATTGTGAATATTTATGAAATAAGTATTATAACGATTTAAAAATCCAAAGGATATATTCTCAAAATATTGTTTTGTGAGTTAAAATGTTAAGAATATAACTTTCAATAACACTTACTTTAACAGATTTATACAATCATTAAAATTTCAACTTTTTGAATAATAAGAAATTTTATATTAAATTATAAAATTATCAAATAAATAAGACTAAACTTTAATGAGAATGTAGGAATCACTAAACCAATAACACAAAAATTGAAAATTCTAATAATTCTTATAAATTCATTTCCCATTAACACCGCGTAAGATACAGTCAGACAAATTATTCTGACTTATGTTTTAAAACTTTTAAATATTTTATTGTATTTTAATATTTTATACCCGTAGAGGTGATTAATAAATGTCCGGCCCGCGAGGACTTGAGGCCCGAACTGACACACCTTATTAACTAGCAAAGGACAACACGTGATATACTTTGTCTCCCCCCGACAGATTTTTTTTGTGTTGAACCAAGTGGCAAACCTACACCACATTTCACTTATCATAATAAAGGTACGTTCTTCTTCTAATTAAACTCTTGACTACTACTTCTAACTGCGTCTGTTCTTTTGCAGTTCCCATGAAAAGTTAATAATCAGTCTTTAATAAAAACACGCAACAGTGACTGACACTAATTATTTTATTCAATTCTCGACCGACTGTGCAACTATTCCATCGTTTCTCATGTTGTTCGTCTCCAAAGATCATCACTTTGGTCTTTGATTTTTGAACTGAAGCAAGAATCAAAGTGAGTAGTAGCTTTCATGGAGTCTCTTCTCTTTAGTTCTTCTCTCCTCTCCGCTGGTAACTCCTGATCCTTACAATCTCTTCCAGATCTATTTCCTTTTCTTGTTTTTATTTTTTTTCCTTTCAATGCTTTGTTTTGTGATTCACTTCCATACAAAAAGGTTTCCTTTTTCTTTTGCAATAAAAAATAAAAAAAGTTCTTTTTTTATTAGATTAAAGTAGCTTGATTTTTTTTCTGGTGTTTAATTTGGATTTTGTTGTTTGTCATGCATGCAAATATGTAATGCAATGTATCAGCTGGTGGTGGACTTTGCTTGAGGAAGCAGAATCTAAAGCTCCTCCCGTTATCAGGTGTGTTTAGGGTTAATTAGCTTCCTAATTGCTTATATTCTATTACATTTGGAGTCTACGAGACAAGACAATGTATGTTGGAAATTAAACTAGTTAAGGTTTTGCTCTTTTTTTTTTTTTTTTGCAGGAAACCGAGTTAACCTGCGTTGTAACTCGAGTAATGTTCTCGCAAACATGAAGAGTAGGAACAATCTTGTTACTAGGCTTGATGGTCATCAAGAATCTTCTTCATTGTTCTTCTGTTCGAAACATGATAAGTCTAGGTTTCAAGCAAATGCCACAACGGGTCAGCCCGAGGCTTTCGACCCTAAGAGCAAACCAAACTCTTTTAGAGACTCTTTAGATGCGTTTTACAGGTTTTCAAGACCACATACAGTTATCGGCACAGTTAAGAAACGTTTTCTCTCTTGAATCTCTACAGGTTACAATAAGAAGATAACATTTAGCTCCTGTGTTTGGTTTTTGCAGGTGCTTAGCATTTTATCTGTATCTTTCTTAGCAGTAGAGAAGGTTTCCGACATATCTCCATTACTTTTCACCGGCATCTTGGAGGTAAAATGGTGTATGATTTTAACAGTAAATATGCTATTTAATTCCATTTCTCTATTTGAACAATTTTGTGTGTTTGTTGTCAGGCTGTTGTTGCTGCTCTTATGATGAACATATACATAGTTGGGCTAAATCAGTTGTCTGATGTTGAAATAGATAAGGTAACATATGTTTTCAAGATCAAATCTTCTTCACTAGTGCTTAGATCTTACTCTATGCGGTCTTTTCTTTTTGCAGGTTAACAAGCCATATCTTCCTTTAGCATCAGGGGAATATTCTGTTAAAACCGGCATTGCGATTGTAGCTTCCTTCTCCATCATGGTATGAATTGCCATTTTCACAAACCTTTTAACACTTAGAAGTCTAATTTGTTTTAAAAACTAAACTTATATAGAGTTTCTGGCTGGGATGGATTGTTGGTTCATGGCCACTATTCTGGGCACTTTTTGTGAGTTTCATGCTCGGTACTGCATACTCTATCAATGTAAGTAAAGTTGCTCAACTTGAGGATTTGGCTGATATTGAAGTTTTTTATTAACTTTTCATCTATTTGCAAAATAGTTGCCACTTTTACGGTGGAAAAGATTTGCATTGGTTGCAGCAATGTGTATTCTCGCTGTCCGAGCTATTATCGTTCAAATCGCCTTTTATCTACATATTCAGGTACTGAAACTAGCTTCTTTATGATTTGAACTTGTCCATTTATATTACTTTTTTTTTCTTTGTTACCAACTGTGAATGCTTTTGTTGACAGACCCATGTGTTTGGAAGACCAGTCATGTTCACTAGGCCTCTTATTTTTGCCACTGCCTTTATGAGCTTCTTCTCTATAGTCATTGCATTGTTTAAGGTAAACAAAGATGGATATGATTTTACTTTATGTCATTAACTCAAAGTGAATGAGGTTTCTTTATATTGATATGTAGGATATACCTGATATTGAAGGTGATAAGATCTTTGGAATCAGATCATTCTCTGTTACTCTTGGTCAGAAGCGGGTAAGATTCCAAAACTAAAGAACTTGTTAGTGTTGAACTAGAATAGAAGCTAAGATGAAATGCTTCTTGCAACAATGCCAGGTGTTTTGGACATGTGTTTCACTACTTCAAATGGCTTACGCTGTTGCTATTCTGGTTGGAGCCACGTCTCCTTTCATATGGAGCAAAG